GTGATGGAAGAGGGAATAACTTTATAAACTTTTTCTTATACTTCTACCATTTGTAACACATTGAATGAAAGAGGACGTACAAGAACTTTAAACGTATTTCAACATGATTGTTGTCTTGTATCCCATAGCTACAATTAGAAAATAAAAATATGTAGAATAAAAAAAAGGATATTACTATTAGTAACCTTATCAAAATCAATAAAAAAATACATGAATCTAGAAAAGTTCAACTAATGATGACATTTGTAGACGTTAGAACATAAAAAAGGATAAATCATGTTTATAACCCATAAAAGTCGTAATAGGTATGTATATATTAATCAGTATGTTACCTCCTAATCTAAAGAACAACTTCCTGTTAGTTGGAATCATGTAAAATCCAATTCTAGTAGAAGAATCCTATCACGAAGCCAATGCTCTTGAAGCAATGCTTAACCCTACAACAAGTGCTCTTAATGCCATTGTATTCTTTGATGAATTAAAACTAAGCCCACCTCAATTTTACGATAAAATATATACTTTACATCAACCAAAATCCCTAAATTGTAAATAGGTCTGAAGCTTTTTTTTTTTATATATATAGAAAGGGATAATTAATCACAACTGGATAATCAATCACAAGTAGGTGTTCTCAACTATTTGTTCATCAATATAGAGAAAAGTGATCAATTATATGTATCTTTCACATAGGACTAAAATTTAACACAAGTATTACTGAATTTATTAGGAACAATGGATGCGACCAAATGAAACTATATAGACAGAAGCAGCCATGTCGGTAAATAAATAAATGTATAGCCATTTTCTTACAATTTTTCATCAAGACTCAAAGTTAAGCCCTAATCAAACATAATCACATTCCATAGTCAAGAATCAAAGAAGAAATGATATATATTTCATCCTATCTCATAATTCAGGAGAAACCTGAAAGATGTGAAGTTTATATGTAAAGGAGAATCCAACATACCTGGCCAATCCAAGAAACCTTGTGCTCATTGTATAATGTCCTCACATTCATCCATTTACCTAAACAAAAAAACTATACCTTACTAACTACACTGATATATATTTTTGGTTCAAGCTCTTACTCAAACAGGGAGTGCGCATAAAATACATAATAGATAAGCTCAAAAGAAGAATAAGAAATGCATGTGGAGATGTAAAAGTGGAATCAAGTCTACATGATTTACTACAAAACAAACTATTATGTGATAAAAAATAAAGAATTCCATCAATAAATAGGGTAGATGGCAGTAGGTACATGAATCATATGTGTACCTTAAGACTACAATCAGTTTGTAGATGTTACCAGAAACCACTATTGATATCTTTCCTTAAATTGAATAAATTCAGGAATTTGAACACTCATCTTATGTCCAACTAAAATTAACAAAAAAGAAGAAGAATTGATGTAGTTAAGAATGAGTGATTGAACCTTTCAGTCCGGGCAGCCACAAATCGCTTGAAAGAAGCTTTTCTTTTGTTGTTTTTTTGTTCCCAGACTGGTATAGGTCAATCAAAGAAATAGCAACCTAGATTTGTTGACTCTCGGTTTGGATAGATCTTAATGCATGCAATAACAAAAGTACCTCTGCCCAAGCATATTTAGAATGGATCTACACAACAACATTTTAGCTTCTAAGTTTAAGGATGAAATGTAACATCTGATAGAAAATAAATAATTTTTGAATGAAAAAGAACATTTGAAAATATCTTTTATGGGACATAAAAGCAAAGAATGGACAATGGAGTACATACACAATTTAAAAATATTTCGTTGAAAACATACACACTTGTAGAAACAGGTTGCATGCAAAATAATTTGGAACATCAAAATCAACAAAAGCTTAATAAAAATGTCATTTGATGATCGTAATAATCTGGTCAAAAGGGAAAAGTTCACACACAAATAGTTAATACCCATGATCAGATTATACCATCAAACAAAGAAAGTGTCTTTTTGGCGTATATCCGTAAATTCAACTAACCACAGGGATAGAAAATGTTATTTACCAAACAAACAGATTAACATACGTGAGGATATTACAATCAAATGAAGTTAATCATACGTAAGGATACTACATGGTATAAATATTAAAATAATATAAATATTATAGAAGTTAATCATTAATCAAAAATATTGAAAATGGTTATTTGTATAATACATTGGAACAGTTTGTCAAAAAGTATATCATGTTTATCTAAAAGCAATTTAAAAATTAATTATAAATAATAAAAAATGCACCTTTCATCCTAAAAGTCACATCAAAGCTAATTTGAACTTCAAAAAACCAGTTTCCCAATGCATTATCGTTTCAATACATACCAAATTATCTCACTTAAAAATAAAACCTTCAGTTCTAAAAATCATAATAGCACATTAAACTGTTATTGCCCTTATAACTTCAAACCAAATTCTTCTATCTTTTGGCCCTTTAAATCAAAATTTTCAGTTTTAATATCATTTTATTCAAATAAATCCAAATTTTTAGAAATTTCATGAATATTTTAAATTCATTTTTCATGTATTTTTCATTGATGACCAGAATACCCTTAACCTTCAGAAACTCCAAAACCATCCCAAGGCTATTCACAATATTTTCATGTATGACATAAACCTCAAAGAGAAACGATTGTCCATCACATGTACCCAAAATAATTTATAAATTCCGGATCTTTCCTCTAAAACTTCTAATAAGGTTGCCACTTTGCACATTCAACACTTTATTAGGAAAAAAAAAAGAAACTAAACCTTAGAAATCTAGTTTTAGTATCATACTTATATATCTTTACATTGACACGCATGTGTGTTCTGTGAAAGGGAGGAGGATGTCTTTCTCATCGGGTGACAATATCTACTAAACAACACCATAAGATGTATTTAAATTGGTGCCAAAAAATAAAGGTACCATGTACCCAATTTCAAAAAAAAATTTGTAAAATAAATGATAAGAACTTGCAAAATTATTTTTCTTATATCCAATTCACATATGGCTGTAAGCAATAAAAGTAAACCTAAGTTTCCATTTCCATATAAATGAATGGAAATTGCAACCTTTAAAAATGCAGGAAAAAAAAGTTTACCTGAGAATCATCTGAAAATACCAACAACAGAGGAGATGTAATATAAAGGACCCTACTACAACCAGTAAATTCAAAACAAAGGCCTTCATAATCCAACCTCTCTCTAACATGCTCAAGTTTCTTTAAATGACCATTATTTTCCTCTTTGTCTGAAAAAATATTTATTTATAAAATAATTCAGCACCAAATTTAAACTACTTCAAATATACCAACTGAAATGTTTGTAGTTTCAAAGTAAATCATTCTTCAAACGGACACCATGTCATGAAAATCAAAAAAATTGGAGTTAGGAATGCTTGCTTTCACATGTTATAACATACTAATGCCCTCAATAAGAAGAATATTGCAAGGCTAAGTATAATCTGGTAATATCAGCAAAAGAAGCACCTTCAAAGCAGAGAGAATGTATTAGAATAAATCTGGAACAAAAAATCTACTGGAATGTCAAAAAATTACAAAAAATTTTGGATTGTAAAGAGATTACATGAAAGCTTCATAGTTCTAACCTGACATCATCTTAAACCTTCTTAATCTATCAAAGAAACGCAAGAGAGAAAGATAGATAATGGCGAAAGTGATGAGAATGAAAGAAATATATAAACCTGAGTGATAAGAGACGGAGAATAGGGTTAAGAACCAAAAGGACAAAGAAAAATCGTAGGAGATTACGAAATCACCTGACATAACTCGACATAGCTGATTTGTGCATACCACCGTGGCTAAATCCTTGGCAGGAGGGTTTACAGTGTTTGATCTTCACAAACAGAGGACAATTGACGATTTCATTCCCTTGATATATATTTCGTAATTGATATATATGCGATTTTAAGAGAAAATTGATTGAAGGAAAACAATGTAAAAAAAGAAAACGGATCAAAATTATCATTTCAATGCCTAATTTAAAACCTGATTTTATGGGATTTGATTACATTTCATTCGTATATGGAGTAGTTACGAATTGTTCAAAAGAAACGGTCTTTGAATTGGTCATGATGATGTCATTAAAATAATCTAAGGGTGGAAAAGTTATAAATGAAATGCAATCAAAGGTTCTGATTGTTTAAGATGATGTCAGCAAGTTTCTCTTTTAATAATATTTAGAGATTGTGATTTGTTGACTTATATATCCTCCTCATATTAACCCTCAGATCGGCCGGTGGGAATGCCTTTATTTATTTATTATTTTTTTTTGCGTATATTCACATTTCGGCTACTCAAATACATGGTTTTATACTATTCCGTTGACTAGTAAGATGGTCACACGTTGGAATCGGTTCATAGCTGGAAAGATGAAACAAAATGATATTGTTTTTCAAAGATGGTGGAGATTTTTTATTTTGGCCGAAGGTGACGATGGTGGTTGTCGGAAGTGAATGGTGGTGGTGTCGGTGATAAATGGTGTAGGTGAGAGACCAACCACGAAAAAAATTGAAATCATAGACATCATTCGTGTAACTTAGAATAACTAGTTAACGGTAGCTTTGTTAAAAACTAACAAAAGTGACTTAATAGACATGTAAGTTGTAAGTTTAATGATCTATTGTAAAAAAAAAAAAAAAACTTTAATGACCAAATCGGATAAATAAGGGAAAATGACACGTACGCCCTATGAAGTTTGTAGAGTTTACACTTTTAGTTACTTAACTTTTTAAATTATTTTTTAAGAGAACAAATTTGGTTTTGTCGGGTCCAATACGTCTTTTTTGAGAAAACGAAGGGGTAACCCGGTTACCCCTATACCAGCTCACTTATTTTTATATTTTAATTAAATAAAAAAGTTATAAGGTCCCACAACATTGAATCTCTCTCTCTCTCTCTCTCTCTCTCTCTCTCTCTCTCTCTCCTCGATGACTAACAGACCCTTGCATCCCTCTTGTTTTCACTATCTTTTGCAGACTCAACAACCAAACACCCACCTATGCTGTTACTTTTGCTTGCCTTGTTCCATCAGGCCAACCATCCTCCTCCCCTTTGTACATAAAGCCAGAACCAAAAGAGAAGAAGTCGAGAGCTGTCGGGGCAGCCCCCATCCGCTCACTCGCTACTACTGATTGCGTCGGACCAAGTTCTTTTTCCCTTTGAATCTCTCCTGCTCTTGTCGAGCAATTACAACCGAGAAACTCGCCAGAGCTGCCATCGCAGCTTGTTTGCTCCCTTGGATCGGCAGTCACTTTCTCTCCTTCGCAAATTATGTCTCGAGCAAGGCTTCCTTCTGATTCCCTCCATCTCCAACTCGATTTCGCACCAAAGGAGTTTTCTGTTTTCAATTCGTGTTTCTTTTCCTGCTCGCATCTTGACTCCTGGTAATGGTTCTTCTGGTTCTCGATATCTTGGAATTTGGTATCATAATCTGCCTCTCATAGTGGTCTGGGTGGCTAATAGAAACAACCCTGTTCGCGATTTACCTGGAAAGGTAGTTTTACACGAAAATGGAGTTCTAATCCTTTATAATCACTCATTGGCTAAAGTTTGGTCAACCAATAACTTATCCATCGCGAGTAGTTTCAGTCCTGTTCTCCAGTTAACAAACTCCGGTAATCTTATAATTAGAGATGATGGAAGAAACAAAACCATTTTCTGGGAGAGCTTTGATTTTCCAACTGACACAATTTTATCAGATTCGAAACTTGGGTGGAAATTAGACGTTGGATTGCAAAGGTTCATTAGATCTTGGAAGGATATTGAAGATCCCTTTCTCTTTGTAGTCAATCGGCAACCACCAGACCATTTGTTGCTTAGCGTTTCCTTCTTGACTACAGTCGTTCATTCGTGTTTCTTTTTTTTCCTTTGATCGATCAGACAAGTGATGACGAGGGGCATAAAAGCCCTAATTTCTTTTGTTTTCTGGGTAACAATTATTCAATTGAGAGAGAGACAGGGATGGGTGGCCCTCAAGTTTTTGGTCTAGATGGTGTTGCTCGGCAGGAGGAAGAAGGGAGGGGCCCAAGTTTTGGGTATGTGACACTCAAACCGGTTATAGCAAGTCAAGAGGACTAAAAAGAAAGGTAGACCAAAGTTTGTTCCTTCGTAAAGCCACTTTTTAAGTTAAGTGACTAAAAGAGTTAATCCTAAAAAGTTTATAGGGCGTATATGTCATTTTCCCGATAAATAACGATAGTTAGAGTAACATTTTCCCATTGGATGTGTAGTCAGAGATTGAAGGGCGATTGCTTGATCACGGATTTTCACACCTATAATTAATGGGGTCGGTTGCTTGAGATATTGATTAGAATAAAATTTCTAGTCAATATTTGAGCCTATGTTTACTATCAGTCTTTCTTCTTTTTGAAAAGTACATGCACTCTATAATCATTTGGATTTTTTCAACTTTAGAAAAGTACATGCACTCTATTATCATTTGGATTTTTTCACCATATAGTTGCTAATCTTTTTTCACCATATAGTTGCTAATCTGTATATTGCTTGTAATTGAAAATCAATATTTGCGCTGTGGAACCTACGACCCTTCACCTACGACCCTTATTAAGAATATTACTTTGCACACGAGCTGATGAGCACATCCAGTAAAAAGAGTCGAAATGTAAATAAATTGATTCGATTATTTAGTATTAGAACTCGTTTTAATATATAAATTTAAACAATTTCTTTAAATAAATTTGTTAACATTGAAGTTATTTTTGTTAAATAAGTTTTTTACTTTTATTTTGGTAGAAAGGAAATATGGTCATTTTTAACATCTTGTTTCCGGTCCTACCAAACGCCATACAGATAAATTAAGCACATGACAATCCAATCCTATTCCATCCAGTCCATTTGCCAAACGCTACCTAAAGGACTTGTGCATTTTCAATACAGTTCGAATGGAACTGAACCTGCATTGGCTGTTTCGGCTTTTGGGAGTACAAATGCAGGGACACAGTCGATTGCGAATAGTATTTTTAATAGTACGATTTATGAGGGGATTTTGGCAGAATCGTTTAATACTAGTGCAGATATTGTTGAAAAGATTGAGTCTGGGATCAAGGGGTGATTGGTGAGGTGTTTCTTGTATCTAGTTTCTTTTGGTGAGATTGTTGCATGAAATGTGAAAATAATTGTTGACGATTGTTTGTAGAGTTTTGCTTTTTGATAGGATTGTTGATTGAATTTTGAAGATGGTTATTGACATTAAGGATACAGAAAATGATTGGAGTGTTGATGAATCTGAATCTTGAACATATATGTATGAATTCATTGCATAAACGAGGAAACTCACAATACAGAGATAGAAACAACAAGGTAAACTGTAAACACACCTGTTCGGACAAATTTATCATAGGATTGAACAGAAATTACTACCAAGGGCACCAATTTGGAGTGCGGCGTTCAATGCTCCAAATGCGATCCTCCAATTTTGCTGCAAAAATCGAAATTGTAATCAATAAAAAAAAACTCAACCGATTCAATTTTCTGACGGAAAAATTAAGAACTAAATTTTAGAAAATTCTGCATATCAAGCCATACAGAAAACCATCGTTGTAACTCGAGATACAACAATGGCTGCATTCGTAATCATGTAAGCATTTCTATAATTCTTGATAATGTCCTTCGTCATCATTATAGAGAGAAACTGAGACTGAAAGAGGATAAAGTTGTCCCAAATTACCATTAAGTGAATAGAATCCAACTAGGTCATCATCCAATTTGAACCCATCATGAAATCTGATGTTTTGACCTTAATATATGAATTACAAGCTCTATTGGAATTAAAACAAAACTGAAACCCTAATTTACCGTCTGTCTTGGTGTTGTTACGGGTTTTATATAGAGATTAACATTGAGACTCCAAACGGAAGAATATGAGTGTTGACATGCTACGCCATCGTCACATGGGTAATGGGAGGGGGGCGACGGTGGTGCAAAGGGAGAGGGGAGAGAGTGACGTGTGGTAGCTGCCAGCGGTGGTGCGGACGCCGGCGGTCTTGGGGAATTTAGAAAGGACTCGGACTCTATTATTTTTGTTTGAAGGTCTCCAGCATAAATTGAAAGTTAGTGATTTTTCTGATTTTTTTTTTTAATAAATGAGTTTTCTTTTGTTATTAGTATTTATTAATTTGTAAATTGAGTTTGTGAGGGGAGGTTACTGTTAGATTCAAAAAAACAAAAGCATTTTATATTACAAGAATTATGCATAAAATATAAAATTCATATAGCAGAATCTTGTATCTACATTTTTTTTCCTTGATCTAACAATTTTTATTTCTCATAATTTTAAAATTAAATTATTAGTATTCTATAAATTATGATTTTAGTCCTTTATTATATTTTAAAATTACCTTTTTAGTCCTTTATTTAATTTGTTTTATAGTTTTTATTTTTATTAATTTCTTTATTAATTATCATTTGTGGTGTTGTACCAAGATATATTTTTTTTCCTTAAATGTTTATTGATTTAAATAAAAAAAATTATAATAATTTGTTTTTCTCTAATATATTTGAAATTGTCTATTGTATTCAATAACCAATTTATCATTTAAACATTATTTTAATCTTAAAAAACAAAATGGATTGTAACCTTGGATTTTAGTTTTTCTTAACCAACCACTTACACACCAATTTATGCTTTCCCTTGTCAATATTGGTCATTTATATGCATAAAAACTAAAAATAATTTATCAATTTTTTTTGTTTGGTACACTATAATCGTTAATGTTTTAATTTTTTATTTTTATTTTTATAAACCATATTTTAGTATTGCATAAGGTAATTGAGTTTTTCATAAAAAAAACGAGAAGTTTTTTTCAATAAGAAATAAATAATAAATTAACAAAATTCACCAAATTGGATCCATCATGGACACCTCTCTCTCTCTCTCTCTCTCTCTCTCTCTCTCTCTCTCTCTCTCTCTCTCTCTCTCTCTCTCTCTCTCTCTCGGACACAAATAGTACAATCACCATCTTCATCTTCTTTATCGCACCCTCTCTGCCTCTCTTCATAAAACTTACATGATTTTTATCTTCATCGAGTATTTATTTTCTTTTCTTTCACCAAACACTTCATTTTCACACATTAATACACACACCTTGAAAAAATCAAACTAATAACCTTCATGTGTGTGTTTAATCTTCATCAGGTTACTAGTTGTGTTCTACTTATTACAGATTGTAGATCTTATAAAATGGGTCAATATTCAGATATGGATTTTGAAAAGTATTGTGTAGTGGATGTAAGTCTCAAAACTGTTCCTCCTTCTCCTCATCATTCAAATCTTGAAAAGAGAAAGGTTAAAAAGAAACTTAAACCTATGTTCAAAAATGAAGTATCATCCTCGAGTCGATACAAGGAATTTACGAAAATAACCTTAAATCTGGAGTGCATCCTATAGAACTGCTCCTTCAGTTAGGTTACACGTTGATGAAGCACTGAGAAGAGGTTTTGTGTATCTAAGCTCCATAGAATTAATCAAAATGAATCGAATCACTAAAAGGAGAAAGAAGATTGTAGTTTCAGAGATTGCTTTCCTCTTCTACGAACATGTACAAACATCAAATTCTTCACCAAAAAAAGTAAGTGATACACCTGACTTTTTTTCCCTTCATCCCTCTCAAAAATTAGATCTTTCAGTTACACTCCATCACTTACTTATTCTCTCCCTCCCCCTTTCTCATTCACCACTACTACCAGTCCTCCCCGTCGAGACAAAACTGAAGTTGTCACCACCAATTCCAGTCATCGTCGATGTCACCTATCATTCACCCAATTCATGTCGTAGTTTCAATGGCAAAACTTCTCAAAAAGGGTTAAATTCAAGCAACCCTCATTTGCAATTTAGATATAACCTTTCACCATTAAGGGGTAATGCCAAAATGCCTCGTGTTTACAATAACCCTTTCCTGGAAATGGAAACTGACTTTCTTCGGTCATCTTCTCCGACCACCCCTCTGGCATAACATTCAGTGACAAATAAATGATGGTCGATCTGTGGTACAGAGGGATGGGATCGGGAGGAGGGAGCGACACCTTTATGATTTGGGGATGAATAAGTATAGTCGACATGAGAAAGAAAGGAAAAAAGGATGGAGTCGATGTTTATGGGCTGTGATCAGTGGCCATCAGAGATGGAGGGAGAAAGGGAAGAGGATGTAAGGTAAGAGAGAGAGAGAGAGAGAGAGAGAGAGAGAGAGAGAGAGAGACCCTTTATATTTTATTATTTTCTTAAATAAGAAAAAACTTCATAAATAGAGTCCTTGTGGTAGTGAAATGATAGAAATATCCTATTAACGGCCAAAAGCTGACATAGTTAGCTAAAATATGGGTGACAAATCAGACCATCGTGTCGTGTTTTTGTTTGACACGACACGACACGACAATGTTTTATGTAACACGAACACGACACGACACGATGTCGAGTTTTTTCTAACTAACACGAAAACGAAACAATTAAAAAAGAAAAACACGACACGACACGACACGACAAAGATAACATAAAATAACAACTAGTTTATTTAATTAATATTTAATCACACATAACACGACAAACACAAAAAACACGATAAATAAATGTTAAATCGTGCCAATTTCGTGTCTAATTTTGAACACGAACACGACACGACATGACATCGTGTTTTTTACACTTGACACGAACACAACACAAACACGAATTCGAATTTAAATTTCGTCCCAATTTCCTTGCGTGTCGTGTATTTTTTTTCGTATCGTGTCATCAATTGTCACCCTAAGCTAAAAGAACCGTTTGTTAAAAGTTTTGAAACCACAAAGATCATCTGGGAGGTTTTTTTGAACTTAGGGACTATATCTTAGATTTCTGTAAAGCACATATACCATTTATGAAGTTTTCTCTAAGTAAATGTATCTTGAGCTTATATAGCAATATGACCACAACGATCTTGAATGTATCTAAAATTCACCAAATTGGATCCATCATGAATCTTGATTACTCTTGACCTGGGCAGTTAATAGCCCTGAGATCTCGGTGGGATAGTGTTTCGTGGGTGTTGGCCGAATAGCGGTTTCAAATAGCGCTCAGAATAGCAGAGCCGCTAATATCGCTGGGATTAACCGAGATTGGCCGCTATTTCGACTCCGAGATCTCTGTTTTTGACCGCTATTTCACAAAATCGATTTTAGCTATGCCGATTGTTTTTTCTTTCTGATTCTATTGCTTTTTCCTTCTTCTATTGATTAATTTTATATAAGGAAACGATTAACTTATTTATAAGGGAGATTTAATTGGTTGATTTTACTTAATTCAATGAATTGATTGGATTTAGATTTTGGAATAAAGGAGCTGGGTATTTCTCTTCTATTAATTAATTAATGAAATATATATATATATATATATATATATATATATATATATATATATATATATATATATATATATATATATATACACACACATTACATGATGTTTAAAAACCGTTATCTCACCGCGAGAACCGCTATTTTATATCACGGCAAGTGACTGTGATTAAATTTTGGATCACCATAACTGCATAGCTCTTAATAGGTAATTAATAGAGAACTCCCTAATTAACTAATAGCAGCAATAGAGAATTAATCTAAGTTATAGAACTTACTCGATATGGGACAATTGCATTATTAGGTGCAGCAACTTGCTGATGCTGAACTGGAGGAGGTTGTGGATAGTGGTATGAGTAATTGTTTTGGATATTCACTGTATGGTTAGCACTCGGGGAACCTGGACTCCAGGAATGAGAGTGGTGAAGTTGAGGTGGCCTATGGCTATTATATGGAACTGGAACCATGGGTGACCATGGATTCAATGTCAGCTGGTTGTTACTCATAGCCATAGGTGGTCTACCCGGATTTGAAATTATTTCATTTGGTCTAGACTTTGCCTCCATGGATCTTTGCTGCATGTGACACAAACAAATCGTCAATGAAGTCATTTAATTTGTAGATATATATGTGATATTTTGTATCGAAAACTTCAAAAACAACATGAATTATATCTTAAATACGTACCTCATTTAATTTTGACTTGGTCATAGCTTCAAGCAATGAATAATTGTCTACAAATCGACACAAACCATCGTGCATGTGCTTAGGTATCTGCGTTCTATAGCAATCGAGGCAAATACAGAAAGAGTAGCCTCCATTTGGATCTTCCAAACACCCGACACATGTTAAATATGTAGATGTGATGAACTTATTACATTTGTCACAAAATGGTCTTCCGCTCTTAACTATATAATAGACTGTCATCACTTCAAAAAAATCAAGAGTACCATTCTTGTCACGATCCATTTGGTCGAAGAAGGACGAATTTGTCATTTGGCCACAACCTTCGTCTCTTATGAACTCCAAGAACTCTCTTCGGTCTATCTTTCCATCACCATCATTGTCCATCGAATCAAAGAAGCCATGAGCCAATTTTTTAACATGGTCTGAACTTGCTTCGTAATAAGCCTTGGCCATCATCGAAACTTCTTCCATTGTATTGTATGACGCCCTTTCCTTTTCCTTTTGATCTTTTGATCATGGGCATATATGGTTCACATATTTTAAAACCTTTGCCAATTGGGCATTAATTATTTAGAATGGGAGTTGACTTTAGAGTTCCAAAGACTTTTGGTCATTAAATTTTAGCATTGTTTTAGTTAGTTGTATAATTTAGCAAAAAAGAAAAAATTCATTGACCATATATTTAGATTCTTGTTACTATTATATAAATTGCACTTTCATTTAATTATTAGTAGTCAAATTAAGAAACATAACTCAAGATATGCTAACAAAAGTCGATCATATATCTATTTTGCTTAAATAGTTTTTTAAAATCGATCTCAAAAACAGATTAATTGAATTTATTGCAAATTAATCGGACAGAATATAAAATGAGTGTTGAAATTCAAAAGGATCATTTTGCTCATATACTTATTATATTCTTGTATAGTTTAGGCTCAACTGTATTTTATGTGTATTCCTAGTTAACTCTTTATTTGGCCAATTATTGTATATATCTGTGATTTATGCTAATGACGAGTTCATGAGAAAATACCTAAAGTAATTAATATGGTGTTAGAGCGTTCTTTCCTCCTCGACCTAATCAATCTAGCCTCATATATCTCTCCTACTGCATATTGCCGATCTTCTTTGACTATTTCAATCGTTACTCATTTTCTACTTCTCCTGATCTTATCTCCATGGCTGAAACCGCACCCATGCATGCATCACCACTAATTAACTATTATAAAGGCACCAGGGGGACAAAAAATGACGAGGACGTACGATAAGAGAAAGACAAAGGGAGTACTGGTGGTTCTGGTTCATTCTATCAAATACCCCCGTGAGATAGTTTTGGATGCATCAATATATAGCTAATACTAGCAACTCAAACAGATACTTACAACACAATTTTGTTTCACATTACAATCACCTCTCTCTCTCTCTCTCTCTTTCTCTCTCTCACGCAATTTTATTTATTACCTTGCTTATTCTTTTTCTGTTAGTCGAATTCTTGTTCATGACTGTACCATATATATTGTGGTAGAAGCTTGTTTTTGAATATCGAAGATAGATGCTTGAAATTTGTAGAAAAGATTCTGTTAACATCCGAAGTTTGGTGAGGCAGATTAGGAGAACCGATGATGCCCACTAAAAACGAAGGAACGTATGATATCAATTACATGTCCACCGGTTAACACTGGCCCAAGGTCATGAGTCATGACAGCTAGGTGTCGAGTTTTAAATCGGTTGGATGTATAATTAAAATTCTCTCATTCGTCCCCATGAGCAATTACAAAACCATTTTGACTCTTCAACCATTCCAATATATATAAAGGATGAGTGAATCAAATAATAGATAGTAAAGGCTGGGTTTGAAAATAAATAAATTGATAGTTGTAGAATAATATTCTTGTCAACTTAAACCTAACAAAAAATATGATATATCACTAATAAGATAACAATAAGTGTTCGGCCAATTTTGCTCCCTTTCGGCAAAGTAAATTAACTTAACGTTAAAATAAATAAGGGTTTTATCTATATTTTCTTCCATCTATGTATCCGAGATCAAGAGGGGGATTTTCATTCCTTGTCCATTCTACTTTTTCCTTTCACGGTATGTTCCTCACTACAACCATTGGGAATAGAGAATCCATATCAAAGAAAGTTCTAACTGTTGGAATACTCGTATCTATTGCTATTTGATATATTGTGGTTAGTAAGATCGATGAATTAGATGAAGGTAAGGAAAGAGAGGTATTCAAACCCTTGGTAAGCAAAAGCCTACATAACGGTTCCAATGCTACGCTTTTAACCAATCAACCATCTCTTCTACGTAATGATTATGACCCAAAAACCTAAAATCGAATGAAGACCAAATCATTCTAGATTATTGGGTAGGTACAACCAATGAATATATGTATGTGTGTAGATTAAAATAGAGAAACAAAATGGCTTAAGTTTGGTGGTTTAAATGTGTGGTTTACATACTAAAGCTCACGTGATCAAACCCATCATGCTTTACTTCCTTTAACATTAATTCTAAATTCATATTATAAGAAATACTTCCCATTTATTCAAAATCCATAGACGTTTTCTTTGTATGTCCATTTATCCATATGTAACGCCAAAAAGAGTTTTTATTTCAAGTTTTATTTTGGATTTTTTTAATAAGGTTACTTTATCTTATACACACTTTTTTTTAACAACACGATTTTATTCACAACTAGCAAGGAGCTAGCAAAGAAAACCCCGAAGGGTGAGACAACGAAACTTACAACCACAATTGCAAATCGAGGTCTTTTCCTAGATTGCTTCTAATGCTCATCCATAAAAAGGAAAAGCATTTAACATCAACAAAAAGACTAGGAATGTTCTTAACATAGCTTCTAAAACATATACCGTTCCTGTTACACCAAAGAGTCCACAAAAAAGCTCTTATAATCACCTCCTAGTTCTTGTCGAAATTGGACCAGCTGGGCTTGACAACACCAATAAAAAGGAAATCAATATCTCTACAAAGATTTAGATCAGGAAGAAGAGGCCAGTTCCTCTTCAATCTAGCCATATGCTCCAGAGCAGTCGAGCATATGAGGAACAAATGATCGGAGGATTCCGGGTGGCGGTTACAAGCTGGACAAGTGGTGGATTGAATAGCCACCTCTCTATGAATCAAATTATCAATGGTCGACAACATATTATGTCTCAAACGCGAGACATAAGTGTTAATTTTCTTGGGAACAACTTTGCACCATAAGGAAGTTGTAGGGTTACTGTCCAAAGTACATACGTCGCAAGCCATTCTAAGGGAGCTCACCGAGAAGTTCCCATTAGTTCCAGATCCCAATTCCAGCGAGCACAAGAATCATCGAAGAAGAGAGTCTCGTTTAAATGCAACCCAACTTTTGCCAAGTCCTTATCCAAACCACAAATTATACCCCACACACCAGACCTATGGTAAGAAGGAATATTCTCATCCAGACCATAGTTTACCCTGTAAATAGCCTTGATTACCTCCTTCCAAAGGCCATCAGGTCCAGCTTTAAAACGCCACCACCATTTGCTTAATCCACTGGTTATACACACTAGAAGATTGTTATACTATAGTTGTCTAAAAGATTGTTATATTGTAATTATATAAAGGCAAAAGTAAATATGTTGGTGTTATGTATTTAGCCTTACATATAGATCTAATTAAAATGACATAGTTTTGGTTTAAATTGAATTAAAATCAGTTTCTCTTGAATTTAGTATTTTACAGACTCCTTTTGCCTCCTCGTCTTCTCATTGAAGTTAATTTTTTTGTCAATAAAAATTAATGTAACAAAGTTCTAAATTCACAACATAAAATATATTTTTGTTTCAGTTTATCGACCTTTAGTGTGCCAATGATAGAATTTTAGATATAAAATGTTAGAAATTAAATTGCGTTGATTGTTAGTGATGTACCATCAGGTCCGTCTTCCATCTTTCACACTTGAATTAGTTTTACTTGAGCAAATAGATTGACCTGAAGAATACAAACAAACTGTAAGCTAGTCGGCCGGGATGAGATCTCGGACGACGCTCCGACGGTTAAGTTAGCGAAAGGCTATATTATCGATCGACTATAGAGGTGAAGAGTTAAACGAGTGAAATGAGTATGACTTCTGTGTATGTACCTCATTGACGAGTCGGATTACCTATTTATAGCGAAGGAGGAAGAGGTAATGAGTTCTTCCCGTATCGACCCTGCCATGCCATCTTATCGCATTTATGGCATTATGCTCGAAGGTACGACTAGTTGTACTTTGTATGCCGTTACACAGCTGTCATATGGTTGTGACATGATCCATCAGCCACGCATCCTCGTACAAACTGCATTCTCATGGTTTCGATGTACTATTGCCACTGTTTCAACGTCACTTTGTACTTTCTCGCTAGTCTTTCTTTTCCTTTCAAGTCTTCATGCCAGTTCGGTATATAAGTGGGCAACTTCGAGACATATGGGGTGGGTGACTTCGAGCGGCCTTGCAGCATGCTGGTTCGGTATATTTGGGAATGATATAGGTATTTCCGGACTATATCCTATTAAGTCCCCCCATTTTGTATCTCTATGTAATCGGTGGAGTAGGGATGCAAACTTTGGAAGGAATAGCATTATAGTCATTGTAATCGAATAAGGGTGAAAAACTCCTGAATTAACTCCGACGTGACGTGCTGACGGTTATGCTAGTCCTCATGATGATCCCTATAACCGTCTTTTCGTATGCCTTTTCTTTAATATGGGTACAGTACCCACCAACCATATTGTCTACCCGTTAATCTTCATACGTTCTAGACTTACTATAAATATTTGGTATTGAATCATCCGTTTCACTATTCGTCATTTCAGTTAGACTCATTCTCCTTCTTCTGTCGACCTTTTCTATCGTATCCTTTTTCTCTTCTGAATATGGCAAGCACTGGGATTTCTCACATTGGGATGTTAAAATCCAAGTTAACTGTTCGGACCATGGGTATGCTCGTTCGGAAGTATAACATGGACCCCAAGTTCCATCCTCGTCTGTCGGAGGCCAACGACGCCATTACCGATGCCCCTGAAGGCTTTGTGGGGTTTACCGAGTGTTCTTCAAATTCGGGTTGCGTCTTCCTGCTTTCGATTTTCTAGAAACTGTTCTGGATTATTATGGTCTGCACATCGCCCAAATAACCCCTAACGGCTTTCGCAAGATCCTTTGCTTCACCCTGTTATGTGTCGCTCTGGATGTGTCGCTGACCATCAGCCTATTTCTCCATTTCTATATTCCGATGTCCAACGGGGATTGGGTTTCTTTCTCCCTTCGCCATGGTTTGGTGGAACTTTGTGACGGTCTTCCAACCTCCATAAAGTATTGGAAGGAGGAATTCTTTTTTGTTCATGCCTCTGCTTTCTCAGGCCCCATGGCGTACGTCGCTACCGCTGACCCCGCCACGGAGCTATCGTCCAACGATTAACTGATAACAGAGAGGTTATCGGACAATTTTGTTCGATGGGCGGACTCCGACGAAGTGATACTGGGTATGGCTGGCATGATTCCCCATTGGAACCGTTTGAGTAAGAAGCCATTGGAGGGGTTCAAGGGAAAAGATGTAACCCTTCTTGACCGACTTCACCGGAGATGGATTGCGAACTCCACCCTAATGACGGAGGAGGTGATGGCGTCGGATTCCCCGACTAGGTCAGAGTCTAGCATGGACTCTGCCCTAGACGTTTCTCGAGTAGAGGGTTCTAGACCTATTCCTCCTAACCTTCACTCGAAGGGCATGAAATTGGATTCCAATTTTGCCAAGCCTCCCATGGTGTTTACGAGGGCTACATCGAAAGGGTTCATCCTAAAGAACCGCTCGGAGAGTGCTCAAGACGATCAAATGATCAGGATGTTCCCTCCCAACCAGAAGCGTTCTAGTCGTGAATTAAAAAGCCGAAGCTTGAATGACGTATTTGCTCCTCCAGCTCCCGATGCTATAAGTTCTGAGCGTACCTCGGAAGATCCCGTTACTATTGTTTTTCACGAATGTCCAATTGAGCCAGACAATGAGATGAAGCGTGTGGAAGATGAGGCGGAGGTGCCTCATTCAGACAAACCGAAAGTGGAGACCGTTACTGTAGGCCTCCGGGAGAAGGTACCTGAGGATCCCCCTTTAGAGAAAGAAAACCCCAAGGTTTTGTCTGCTGCGGTTGTGTTTCAATAAAAACTCTTTGGGTATGGACTTGGTCGCTTTATGGAACCAACCACTGACTCCTCAGTAGTTATTCCTATTCCCATTCCCTCCGATACCACAACTGGGAATGAAGAGCCTTTGGAAACAACATCTGCAGATATGGAAGTCAGTATCTCGAATCCTCCCCCCTTAACAAGTTGTATGTTCCCTTTCTCTCTTTGTCAATGTTTGCTTTTTTGTGTATTTTAGGTCCTTGTTGCGATTCACTTGCTTATTTATTGCGTACTATTGTTATTATAGGAAAAGAGGCCACGATGCCAACACTGGTCACTCTTGCTGCTTCACTTCCCCGGTTCAAACATCCTTTTGCTATGACAAGTGTTCCCAAGAGCCCTTTTGAGACGGGGGTTGCGTCTGATGAAGAAGCGTTAGATAAGGCTCGATCGTGTTTGATGGAGGGAATGCACCTGTTGAACGAAGTGTTTGTACGCACAAAGGTGCATTCAGAGCAGCTTTCTTAGCGTCAAATCGTGTTTGAGGAAGCTCTGGAAGGGTTAAAGCAACTTCAGACTCTTCACGAGCAAACAAAGGAAGAAGCTAAGCGGGTGAAGGAAGAGGTAGTCAGTTTGTCAGAGAGAAACCAAAGTTTGGTGAAAGATTTTAGTCAAGCCCTCGGTCAGCAGGAGGAGTTGAACAAGTTGAATCAGGATCTGCAACTAAATTTGGATGATGCTGTGAGCCGCTGTATATCTGCCGTCAAAGAACTCGAGGGTATCTCTCAGCAGTACTATTCACTGAAATCGCAATATACTGAGTAGGTTTCTCAGCTGGAAATCGTCTGCTCTAGCAAAGATGTGAGTATTAAATTGCTAGAGGAGGAGTTAGCCGCGACGAAGCTCCTGATGTTCGAGAAAGATGCCCGAATTGCCACCTTGAGCGACTCACAACTTCTGATGGAGGAGAATATAGCAAGTTACCAGACGGGAGCAGATCAAAAGGCTGAGGAGCTGCGATGGGTCATAAAGGAAGGAATCCCCACCTTTGTTCGGGCTTTTTTGGATTCAAGCGACTTTGGTGCCGTGAATGCCGCCTTGCAGACATTCGCTATCCAGCTTGGCCTCCATAAAGCCTGTGTGGACATGAAAGAAAAGTACACCGAGGAGCTGAAAGGTAAGAATGTTCTGTATTCATACCTAGATGCACATCATCAAATTATGGAACGTTTTTCTGAGATGACAACATACAAGTACTCGCTAGTGTCTGCTCTAGAGAGCGAGGAGATGGATGTAGGTGGTCTGAAGAAATTGCTGAAGACTGTGGATTCATCTGGGGCAGATGAAGTTGGATCAGGCTAGGGGTCGGGAATTGTTTTTGGTTTTTTAGTGATTTGGACTTTTGAACTTGTAAGCGCAACTTTTATTTTGCCAATGCTGTGGGGTAGTTTTTTTGTTATCTTGTAATGACACTCTGCTAAATGACAATGTGATCTTCTTCTATTTGCTCGAATCCTTTTTCTTCTTACCAGTGTAATTGTAAGAGTTATTTGTGATTTCGATTATTCTTCTATCGACAATGGTTGGCATCTAATTTCATATTTGACTAAAGCGTTTGTCAGACTTTGAAATGCTCCACCCTTTCTTTCTGAGATGTTGGCACTAGCGGGAGCACGTTCTTTGAAATTCAGGGAGTTCCGACCATGTAGAGCTCCGGACTATCATAGGGAGAAGGGCCCCATAGCGAGTCGGCGGTGGTTAGCAGATGTTGCTAACGCCTTTCGCACCAGTCGTTGTCCCAAGGGGGACAAGGTCAGACTAGCTTCCTGCCTTTTGAAGGACAGGCACGAGACTGGTGGCAGGAGGTAGGACGTGCAGTGGGTGATGATGTTGTTTATGTGATGTCATGGGATGATTTCTAGACCAAGTTCCGAGCTGAGTTTGCACTGGTGATCGAGGTGCAGCAATTGGCGCGAGAGGTTTAGGATCTCTGCGAGACTATGCAGACGGTGGCAGCACCCGCTCCTGCGACTCTTTGGATTACTGACGGCCGTCAGGGCCAGGCAGACGCGCCTGTGGCGAAGAGCATGGCTTTCCATTTGACGGCCAAGGAGGCGCATGCAGCTCCCAATGTAGTAACGAGTATGTATCTTCTCCTTATCTTTTTAATGATATTGAATTGCTTGCTTATGTTTATATGTCTTATTTTAGGATCATTCCTTGTGAACGGCATTTTTGCATTGGTATTGTTTGATTCGGGGGCTACCCACTCGTTTGTATCTCTTGCTCTTAGCAAGAGATTTGCTAGAGATCCGGGGGAGCTGCATTTTCCTGTAGATGTCGATATTGCTGATGATAGGTATGTTCGGGTTGCGAGGGTCCATCGGGGTTGTACTCTCTAGTTATTCAGCGGGTAGTATCCGATTGATTTGGTTCCCATTCCTCTGCGTGGGAACAAGGTTATAGTGGGCATGGATTGGTTGAGCCCTAATAGGGCAGTGATCGACTGTGAGCAACAGTTAGTTAGGGTTCGGACCCCATGTGGGGTAGAGTTGGTGATTCATGGGGAGAGACCGTAACGTGGGCCGATTTTAAGTTCTGCAGCGAGGGCCAGACGATATCTTCAGCAGGGTTGCTCGGGTTATGTCGCCTATGTCATGGATACCCGGGAGAAGGGTAAGGCGACCGTGGATGATGTGTCGATTGTGCGGGATTACCCGAATGTATTTTCGGAGGATTTTCCTAGGGTGCCTCCGGAGAGGCAGGTTAAGTTCAGGATTGATCTGCTTCCAGGTGCGACTCCGATAGCCAAAACACTATATTTGTTGGCTCCTCCCGAGATGCAGGAGTTGTCTCCACAACTACAGGAGCTTTTAGACAATGGATTTATTCGACCGAACAGTTCGCCTTGGGGAGGACCGATTTTGTTTGTGAAGAAGAAGGATGGTCTCATCGTATATGTATCGACTACCAAGAGTTGAATAAGGCAGCAGTGAAGAACCGTTATCCACTTCTGAGGATTGATGATCTTTTTACCAGCTTCAGGGTGCATCTTGGTTCTCCAAGATTAATTTGTGACCGGGTTATCATTAGATGCGATTCAGGGATGAGGATGTGCAGAAGACAACTTTCCGGACTCATTATGGTCATTACGAGTTCGTGGTGATGCCTTTTGGGCTCACCAATGCTCCAACCGCGTTCATGGATCTCATGAACCGCGTGTGCAGACCGACGCTGGATCATTTTGTGATAGTATTTATTGATGATATCTTGGTTTATTCCAAGACTCAGGACCAGCACGAGGAGCACTCGAGGGAGGTGCTAGATACATTGAGGAGGGAGATACTTTTCGTAAAGTTCTTCAAGTGCGAGTTCTGGTTGTGCGAGGTGCAGTTTTTGGGGCACCTTGTCAACCAGAATGGTATTCTGGTCGATCCGGCCAAGGTTGCGGCCGTGATGCAGTGGGAGGTTCCGAGGTCTCCATCTGAGATTCAGAGTTTTCTTGGTTTGGCTAGTTATTATCGGAGATTCATCCAGGATTTCTTCAAGATAGCTATTAGTTTGACCCGACTGACCAAGATGATGGTTACATTTTGTTGGGGTTCTGAGCAGCAGGTAGCTTTCGAGACTGTGAGGCAACGTATGTGTGAGGCGCCGATTCTGGCCCTGCCTGAGGGTGTTGATGATTTTGTGGTTTATTGTGATGCTTCGATCACAGTCTTGGGGGCAGTGTTGATGCAGAGGGGTTGCGTGATTGCTTACGCTTCGGCAGCTGAAGCCTCATGTCACACCCCCGGACCAGACGGCGGAAACGTCCGGAGGCGGGTGACTTCATTGTGCAGTATCATAACAATTGAATATAAATGAAATAGAGCAATCCAAACATCATACATTGAGATACAAACTTACATTGTTTACATATTGTATTTGTTCATCAAGTTACACAAATGAGACATAAGTAGAGAATTCCAAACTACAGCTAAATAGTCCTGCATTCGCGTCCCTTGTTACCTGCTTACTAGATCCCTGAGAATACAAGTCGTTTTGAAAAGCGTCAACTAAAAAGTTGGTGAGTTCATAAGCATTTTTGTATAAAATCGTTTACACTTGTTTAGAATCGTTCGTATTGTACTTTCAGAAAATCCGATATTTTCTATGAAATCGTTTGAAGTCTTGCCTTGAAATTCATGGATATATGTGTGCATGTCATTACTTTTATTCATCCCTATAAGGAGTGATTTTGAAAAGTAGTGTGATTTGTAAAAGCGAGTTGTGTACGAAAATAGTTCTTTTGAATAGTAATAGTCAACCGTTTCCAGAAAAATCCCTTATTTTCAAAAAAGAGAATATGGTTGAAAATCTTGTTCCTCTTATCGGGTAAAATTGAGTGTGCGTTCTAGTTTATCGTTATCGAAATCGTAGAAAATCGTTTTCTCCAGAAAATCCTATATTTTCTGCTATAAAATATTCGTAAGTTCTAGTTCCAACTATGTATATGTGTGGGTTAATTTATCGTTTTCAAAATCGTTCACAAACGTTTTCCATAGAGTCCTACGCTTTTTAATTTGTAAAAATAGCAGTATTACGACTCTATACTTGTTAGGAGAAAGAATCAACATGACAATTGTGGACATTCTACGCGATAAAAAAGGACAGTCAACGCAACAAATGCGGACCATCACTTATCATGTATAGGACGGTCAACACAACGTGCCAAAAATTTATTTATGAGGTTTTTCCTTACATAAATTTCTAGATGACATAACATATTCTAGTGAGCCGTTATAACCATACTAATCTGACGGAGTGCCTGTTTTGGCGTTTCTCAAGCGCCCTCGGTTAGGAAAAGACATTTGTCACCCTAGACTGGCCTTCGAGATGTAGCGAACAACGAAGGTGCGGGTGTCGACCCCGTATAAATCTATACACAAATTCTCGCTCTCCCTCCAGGAGACTCTGACTATAACTCCTTACAGGACTTAGATGTACACTAATATTTTCATATTTAGGTACTTTTGAGATTTGTCTGACTAGAATATTAACAACCTTTTGAGCGATCGTTAAAGATCCATTATTTGTTAGATAAATAATGAAATTTGTACTTATTGAATAGAAATATCGTTCTCATTCCATATCGTTGATTGTGCTCGTTAACTAGGTGTTCGTGTTCGTTCCTTTTCGTTTATTGAAAAATAAGTCATTTTAGTCAAGAGAAAAAGTGTCAAGTTATAATTTGTATAAATTTATAACTGCCGTTTATGACACGCATTTTCTGTTTTATGACATATAGAAAATTACTTATGTTGCTGGAGGTTTTACGACAGCAGTTTATGACATGCAAATATTTCTGTCATAAAGGCTGTATTTGTGCATTTTCTTGACGCAAACTTTTATATTGAATATTTATAAAATACTCCATGACAGTTTGCAAAGTAGTCACAAAGTTCCCTTTTTCGAAAATCACTAGAAATAGTGTCAACTTATCAAGGTTCCTTTTTATAAGTTTTATTTCTAGACATGAAAACATAGATAAAGGGCTTAAGTTGGACACATCCAATAGTTGGGAGGCTCTTTTGTACACAAAGTATCCTTTGTTCCTTATGAAGTTGTGAAATCTTACGTTCATGAGGATATTACTAAAATAATAATTTAATAATATTTCACACACACATACAAACATACGTATATATGCAATTATTCAAGTATTTAGGCAAGATTCGACTTGTACTCTCCCCCAAAAACATTAAAATATTGAAAAAGGTGGGGTATGAAGCTCACCTTGAGTTGGTTGAGGAGTTGTTTGGAATGATGTAGTGGAGATTCCAAGCTAAACTTTGGCTGAGATGAGGAACTTCCCTGGGGGGGATGTTTTCCTAAGGATGATCATCACATATTATTATGAATAAATAATATGGATTTATCTTGAAATATTATAAAATATTAGATGAGTGGAGGAATTTACCTTACAACTTCAGGGAGAAATTAAGAATTTTGTTTTCAGCAAGTTCTTGTTCTTGCTCTTGAAATGAATTTTTGAGAGAAAATGAGAGGAGTGAGAGAAAATGTGAAGTCTGAACTCCTTACTGACGTTGCTTTGAGGATGAAAAAGGGAGGGAATCTTTGGTGCATGGGGATCTGATGGTCCATGCATTGTTATTTGGTGGGTAAGGCATGTGATACTGCGATTTGCATGGGGAATAGGAGTTTCGTCAAATCACAAAGTCAACCTCTTTGTCTTTATCTTGATTTAGGATAGGATCTTCCTAAATCCTAAACTTTTATTTTATGTAAATATAATTTAAATAATTAAATTTGGCATAAAATAAAGGTTTTAGGGGTCTTAGTTAAGAAAAACACGAGTT